TGAAGTTGCTACCACCATGATTAGTGTTAAAATGGCTGCTCTGTGCATCAGATTTGAGGTACCTCCCTGTACTGTCTCCTTGTTTCACTCAAAGGTCTCTGTCTCAGCTGGGCACTGTGAGGCCACCGGTTTCTTTCTTCTGACAGAAACAGGCAATCACGCTTTTCTTCCGGGTGGCCACATGCCCCCCACAGGGGTTAAAACAAACAAACAAAAACCACCCCACCTTTTCTGTCTTTACAAAAGGACCGCAGAAGCCACCCTTCCCCCTGTTAAGTCCAGCACACCACAGTCCCTGTTAACGTGGGGCCTGCATAATATTTCCTCAAAGCTGTGCCTTCGGCTGAAGGGCAGATACACTGCCAGTACACTTTTGGGGACAAGACTGAAGGGAAGATGCTTGTGATCCTTCCCCTCCAGCCTGGGTTGTATGAGTATTCAGCTCCTGCTCCTCTCACAGCCATTTGTGCCTCTTCTCTCCTCACAGGTCCAAGCCGTCGTTTTAAGAGGGTAGTAGAAACCATTCAGGCACAGTTGTTAAGCACACATGACCAGCCTTCAGTGCAGCAGTTATCAGGTAAGTAGTTTCTACTGTTGAGCACCTTGCTTCAGCAGGGACAGGAAGGTGAAGTGCCTCTCAGTACCAGGAGGCTGAGGGAGGCCGTCCCTCTGATTACAGCAAGAAACAAGCTCCATTCAGACAGAGCAGTCACTCCCTGCACCCACCCTACTCCTCCCTCTCTCATTCCCACTCCAGTGCTCCCAGCGCATTCCCCAGTTGAACAACTTCTGCCCTCCTCCTGCCCAAAGAGCCATTTGCCCATTTCTCCATCAAAAGCTGCATCATCAATAGGACTTCCAGATTTTCTCTGGCTCCGAAATCTCCCAGAACAGGGACATGCTCTAGAAGATATCTGATTTTCAAACCCTTCAGGCATGCTTTAGGAATGTCCAACTTCAGAGGGTCCCGGAACAAAGTTGAGAGCTACTTTTAACTTAGCCATTAACAGCAGCATTTTTAGGTGGTCAGAAGGTAGCTGATAGTTTCCAGTAGTGTGGTCAAATTCGTGGCCCAATACTGTGGTAGCACAAATCATATACTAAGGTTCTGCAGAAGCTATATTTTATCTATTTTTAAAGTAAATTTCAATTCCTCATGGTGGTAGAGAAAACCTTACATGTGTGACCCTGTGCAATGACATCAATCTGAATCTGCAGGCAGCCTGAATTGATAATACAGAAACTGGCCTCATCCCACCATTATGTAGCAAATGTTCGCTCTGAACACTAGTGGTGACACACACAATAAGAAACTATTAGTCTTAACTCGTCTATCCTTTAAAAGAACAGAACAAAGGAAAAAGGTGAAAATTGAAAACTTAAGGAAGCTTAGCTATTGGGAGTGCTTCAAGGAAGGAAAAATGGGGAGAAGCAGAAAGAATGTACAAATATAGGGAAGAAATGCGAGCAAGGCAGAGAGCAGAGGCTGCAGGAAGAAGACAAAGAGGCTGGAGGGGTGGGAAGAATTTTCCCATTGTATGATGATGAAAAGGTAGTCACTAAATATTACACATAAGAGCCAAATTCTGTGCTTGACCTTTGTGTGAACCAGCCAAGACAAAAGTGGAGGAATGAAGTCGGCATTGCATCCTGCAGTTCAATCCCAGATGTCCTTGGCTCATTGCACATATGGGTTACATCCTTCTGGTCTAACAGTGTGGTTTTAACAGTTGAAGATAAAATAACTCCATCTAGAAGGGTGTATGTTCACTACATGACAGAGAAGTATGCTCAGTTCAGGAAATATTATTTTCCACTTTGCCTTTGCCCTCCAGCATTGCCTGACCTTCTGCACGCTGGATTGCAAGGGTGCCCAGCACATGGGTTATTCTGTTAGGAAACAGGAAAGGTGAAGATACTAGAACTAGGGTTGATTCAGGTTTTTGCTGTCTGGACTTTTGAAATTAAATCAAACTCAAGGAAGCAGACAGAATTTTGTGCCAGTCCTTCCTCTTGGGAAATGCTGGGGCCAAGTGGGAGTGAGGGGAATTCGATAGAAAAGCATCCTTTGAGTTCAGTTCATATTACCCATGCCGTGTGAACAATGTTCAAGCATTCCTTGTTTCTTAGGGAAAGAAGTGTACCATTGCTTTCTGGTGAGGAAAAAACTATTAAAAAAGTAAACAACATAGTGATCTCTCTTAACTTCTTCACCCTAGTATGTGCTAGCTACTGAGGCTCTCTAGATTGGACCCTCTTGCACACTTGCATGTGAAGCAGGATATCTCCCTAAGAAAGTCATATTATAGCAGGAATAAAAAACATTCATCTGACTAAGGCTCAGGGAGATGTTTAGGGCAAACTGTGCTGTGAGAAGTGTATCCGACTTACAGTTTTGCTCTGGTTCTGGAATGGAGAAATCATACTACAGACACAGAACCTCTTTCTACTGCCTAAAGCTACATGAGAGCATGTTGTTCTAGCAGGGAAAACCCAGCCTGATCTTCAACGCCAGAGCGGAATGGATAACTCCACATGGAGCAAAACCAAAATGAATGGTCTCTTGAAACCTAAAAATGAGAACTCCCTTGGCCAGGGAGTTAGCCAGGCAAGACAGATCACAAGAGACAGGGGGCCAAACTATCCTGTATCATGTCACCTGACCTGATCAGGAATATGCAAGTCTCTTGAAAACGAGAGAAGTAATTTAACCTGAAAAATTTAGGTTGGAGCAGAGTACCAGGAGAAGAGAAAAGGAAGGGGGGGAAAAAAGATTGTTACCAAGAAGAGACAACCTGTGCATCGAAGTAGGGAGGCCCTGTGGTTCACATCCCAGCCAGTGAGGGAGTAAGGGGAAATAAAAGGATAAAGGGACAGCAGGAGTTCACAGTCAGCACCTTGCTTAGCTGGGTGGCTGTGGTTGGGAAGATGTATGCAAGAGCTTCCTAGAAATTGCCATGGAATTACTCAGCATTTCTTACTAGAAACAAGGAAAATTCTTCTCTGTTTCTCTTCTTCTCCCATATTCCCAGCCCTGAACACCTCACAGGAATTGTGCTTGTTGGACTCCTATTCAGGTTCATGGTTTGAGGATACTCTGTAGGCAGAACGAGCTTGCAGTTCACTTTGACTCTCCTCCTCCATACCTCTGAGGATACTGCTGGCCCTCACCAGCAATGGAGATTTTCCTAGCTCACTGTGCACAGACATATCCTCTGTGCAGTTGTCTCCCCTGCCTTTTAGTTCAGATGCCATTACAGGTGGGATGATGAAAGCCATCTCTGAAAGGTGCATGCATGTAAAGTGAGACCTGCAGAAGGGGAAGATTGAATGAATGCAGTATGAAGCAGAACAGCAAGACCATTAGGTCTAAGCATATGGCACTGATAGTCATTCTCTCTCCTGCCCCTCTTTGATCTGTTATGCAGCATGCCAGCCCACTAAGCCGGCTTGCCTGGGTTTCAGAACGCACTTTCCTCTTTCTCATTTCCTCCAGCTCACAACAGTGTTTGTAGATGTCGTGTTGCCCATGCTTCTGTGTGTGTGTGTGTATGTGAGCCTGATATGTACCTGATTAGGCAGATGTGTTTCTGCATCACACCTGAGCACCTTATAATCTCCCTTCCCCCTGGATATTCCTCCATTCACTTCCATTTTTCCTTCCTAAGACTGGCTGTGCTTATTTCTTCTGACATACTCTGAAGCAGGAAAATAGCTTCCCTCCCTTACCTGAATAAGTGTGTAAATAAACAAAATCTATCCCAAAAGCTAATGTAATACTTCTAAAATCCACTCTCCAGTTGGCCAAATTTAGCGCAACATATCAGCCTTGTACCTTAATGTTTCAGGACATAAAATCCTCTGTGGTATAACTGCTGAGACAATACCAGGTCTACAGACTCCTGACTGCCATAGAACAAGTAGCTAGGGATTGATTGTTCATTTTTTCTTCCCAATGAAAGAACTAGAGGCCATCATATGAAACTAGTGGAAGCCATGTACCAAAAAAATATTGGAAGGTGTGTCTTCATGTAATGTAAGACCTGCAGAACTCTTTGCTGAAGCAGATTGTGAATGTGAGGAGCTTGCAGGTGCTCAGCTTCTCCTGAGTACTCCTTACTCACAGGGAGGCTGGACAACTCCCTGGAAGAGAAATCTCCATGAGGATGGCTAAACAGAAAAACTGCAGCAGGCTCAGGAAATCTCTGACCTGAAAGTGGTGAGAGAGTGAGGCAGTGTTAGGAAGAAGTGTTCTGCATGCTTGGCCTGCTGTTACAGTCCTGCATATCTATGTGTGGCTGCTGATGGAGACAGAGCACTGGATGGTTCTGGTCTTTGATCTGAACCAGAATAGCTGTCCATATGTTCTTGTTACTGGTATCACAAAATCCATTAAGCCCAAAGAGGCCATGAAAGGACAGTCCCTTTTGGATCAAGAGTGAGTATCGCTGTCTATGAGAGCAGCCGGCCTTGTCTCTCATCCATGTATGGCTCCATCCAGGAACTTAGGTAATCCCTGGGCAGGACTACCGTTTGATGAGATAAAAGGATCTCTCTCCATGGAAAAAAAAATCTCAGATTTGTGCCTTTGTTTTAGCCCAATACTCTTTGCATTAAATCATAATCTGTTTTCCTCCAATGCCTTTGCACAAAAGAGTAATAGAAACAGCTGGTGAATACGGACATGCAAAAGCCATCTGTGATCATTCACAGGGTATCAATTGTTATTTCCATAATATTTTCTTGCCTCTTTGGGCTTTGGTTTTAAGTGTGGGGTGCTGCATATTCTTATTTTTTCCCATTTTCCCATGTTCTGGGCAACCAGCAATACAGAAATAGCCTTTATAACTTCTTTGTAATAGGTTTTCTGTTTCTTTATTATATTTATTGGCTTCATGACAGATTTTAACCATTAGCATCTCAAAGTTCAGAGCATCTCAGTGTTACTGCTGGAAATGCCTTTCATCAGCATAAACAAGTGTTTAGAGACCATATCCAGCTTCAAAATAGGGCAGTACAAATTCTTGCACATTGTATCTTCTGTATATGCACTCAGGCTCTTTTACGGTGCTGGTGTACATCTCAAAAAGCAAAACGTGTTCGTGTGACTCAAGAAACTTCACTAGAGTATTGATCTGTGAATTCTGGGTGTTCATTTTTATGGCTCACAAGAGCTGTAGGTTGACTAATCTGCTACAAAAAATAGTAAGAAACTTACGGTTTCCAAATGTGTGAAAGACTTTACCATCAAGACAGAAAAGGGAGTAAGGAGCAAATGAAGTGCTTTGCAAGGTAAACTTCCAGCTGCAGGCTCAAAACATGCAAATGCCAGTTTGGAATTTGACCGCAAGTCAGTTTTATCCTGGTCTCACCCAGGTCCCAGGTTTATCTTGTTTCCTGCATTCTTGTGCAATCCTTTATGTCTTATCGCTGTTGTAGCGTCTGGGGCAATCACTTCATGTTGCTATCATGGTTCCCACCTACAAAAGGTGCTGTGTAATCCCTGGTTGGATTGGCAGAGCACTATTTTTTTGCTAAACAGCTTTAGTATTATTACTGAACAGACTTCATTAAAGT